TATATGAAGACAAAAGAAATAGAACAGCTAAAATAATTTTGAAAAAGAATTAAGTAAGAAGAGTGGACCTAACTAAACTCAAGACTTAACTATACAACTACAGTGATGTAGTATTTTGTGGACATATTTACACAGGTGTGTCTGTGCTTTGCACAGGTCAATGTTGGGGGTCTTCTGTTTCTATCTCTTGTTTTATATGAATGTCTGTCACTGAACCTCATGCTTACTGATTGGGCTGGATCCAGAGGGGACTGCTTACTCTGCCTCCTCAACATGGCAATTGGAGCCTACGGAGCCCAGCTTTATACATGGTTGCTGGGGATCTGAACTTAGGTCCCCATGCTAACATGGCAGGAACATTGTTGATTTAGCCATCTCCTAAGCCCCCAAATGTAGTGTTGACAGGCAAAAAAGATATACAGTCCATAGAGCAGGACATAAAATCTAAAATAAATCCATGTAAGTATGTACAACTCAATGGAGACAGAGTACTAATATTAGTGGAGGCAGTGATACCAGACCATCTGGGAGCAACTGGATATCCCCAAGCAGAAGATGAATCTTAACCTAAACCCCACACTTTTCACAAAAACAAATTCAAAACAAATCATGGACTTAAACATGCATGTATCATTTTTAGAAAGTCATAGAAAAAAGCCTTTGACACTTAACACTAGAAAATATCCTTGGACTTGACACTTAAACTGTGATAGCTAATCGTGGTTGCCAATATCACACACTTTAGAAGAGGGAAACTCAATTGAGTAATTGCCTGTATCAGGCAGGCCTGTAGACCTGTATAGAGGGCATTTTCTTAATTGCTAATTGATGTATAAGGGCCTAGTCCACTATGGGCAATACCATCCCTATGCTGTATAAAAAAACTAGCAAAGCAAGCCAGTCAGTGGTGTTCCTCCATGGTTTCTGCATCAAACTCCTGCCTTGAGCTCCTGCTTGGGCTCCTCTCAATAATGATGGAAGGTAACCTGTAACCCTTTCCTCCCCAGGTTACTTTTGGTTTGTCATAGCAACAGGAAAGCAAACTAGAACATATGTTATAAAAAAGCAAGCTATGGTAAAGGAGACCCCATTGAAGTTAAATATATTTGCTCTGTGAGGAGTCTGGTAAGGAGATGAAAAGACAGAGCAGGAGAAAACATTTGAAAAATCACTATATCCAACACAGCACTTTTTATCTAGTACATAGAAAAAACAGACGGTGGCTTTATTCATAATAAGCAAAACTTGACAATACAAATGTCTTTAATGGAGTAAACTGCTGGGTGACTGCACTTGATGCCTGCCACCATGGAAGACCACTCAGGAACAAAAAGCAGCTGACTGTAGCGCATGAGCAAAATGGGGTGACTCTCAAGGAAGTTATGCTGAGTGCAGAAAGCTGGTCTCAAACTGTACACACTTCACAGGCCCATTACATAATATTTGTGTAACGACATAATTACAGAGATGGAGAACAGATGAGCGGTTGCTAGGGATTAGTGCTGAGGAGGGAGAGGAAGGGCAGAGCCATGAGGGTACCATGTGGGAGTCCTGTGGTAGTGGTGACTCCGTTAGGAATCTTGACTGTGGTGATGCCAAAACCAAACTCCATGCAGTGAGATAACACAGCATTCTGGAAACAGTACAGTTGCTATCAAACCTGGGCTGCTGGTCATCTGAGCAGGAGCCCTCGAGTGGCTCTAGGGAGCCTGTGCTCAGTCTGATGAGAAGGCCAGGTGTTCTGGTTGCAGCTATCCACCCACTCTTCCTGCCTCCTATGCGGACTCCAGCTAGTAGACTAGACTACATTTCCCAGCCACCCTTGCTGGGAGAGAAGCAGAGTTCCAGTCAACAGGATATAAATGAATAGCTCTGTCCTCTCCATAAGACATTGCCCTTTTCAGGAAACTTGAAAGGGAAGTTGCCCTTTTCCAAGATGCATATCCCCAACATACTAGTGCATGTCTGAAACAAATCATACTGCACGCACACATACACACACACACCCTATGATGATAAAGTTCAGTTTATTAAGTCAGGCACGGTACAAGAGTAACAGCACCAGCTAATAAAAAGAAGAAAAATGTAACAAAAGTCAAATATAATATACCCCCCTCAAGATAGCTTATATTACGTTTACCTTTTTACTTAAAGGAAGCACTTCCTGATTTGTCTCTGGCATATGTAAATCACTGGTGTCACTAGGGACCGTTAATAAATGACATAATATTGACTTGAACACAAGCACTGCTTAGTCAACTAAGTGATTAACAGAAAGGTGATATATACAGAGTAGATATACTAGGAAATGGTATCATTTAAATCCAGGACCAGAGTAAACAGAAGGTATGCATTACTCCAAATAGGCCACAATTTCACACTTAAGAATACTTGTTTCTGTAATTTTCCATTTTGTATTTGCAGACTTCTGTCAACCTGAAACTGTGAAAAAGAACGTCATGGCTGAGGAGAGGCTGTGTGGAAGAGGGAGGAAGCCTCCAGTCTGAGAGGATTTCTTCTGTGCTATAAGTCACTGCTCTTGACACTGCCCAGTATCCCTAAGTAATAACCTCAGACCCACTGCTCCTGGGCAGACCACCAGCATCCCCAGCCTTAATGCCCTCCCTGGGAAGCTGTCCTGGGGGAGGGTCTGGATGGCATGGTGAGGTGCCCAGACAACCCCTAGAGATAACACCAAACCTGAGCATCTAAGGGAGGAAAGGGATCCTGAGTTTGGGACTTAAATCCTCAAACTCAGATTCTGAAGGGCCCAGAGGCTTCACTGGGCTCACAAGATTAGAAAATTCTCTAGGAATTATTTGCTTTTTCGTTGCTGTGATAAAACACCATGACCAAGGCAACCTATAGAAGGAAGGGTTTATTTGAACTTATGGTTCCGGAATTTTAGGGTCCATAATGGTGGAAACAGCATGGCAGACATAGTGGATGCTTCTGGAAGCTGAGAGCTGAGGGCTCACATCACAGGTTGCAAGCAGGAGGCAGAGAAAGAAAGAACTGGGAGTGGTGTGTGGCTTTTAAACTGACACGCTTCCTCCAACAAGGTCATACCTCCTAAACCTACTCGAACAGCATCACCAATTGGGGACCAAGTGCTCAAATACCTGAGCCTGTAGGAGAAATTTCCATTCAAATCAGCACAAGGTCCCACCATAAATCCATTCATTCACCCATCCATCTCACTCATCCATACTTTTATTCCTTTCAAAAATATTGAGTAATTATTTTGTGCACTGGGCACATGGAAAACACACAGGTGGTTGCGACCCTATGTAACTCATAATCAAGCAAGCTGCAGACAAAAGGGGGCCAGGGGTGCCTGGTGCAGTGCAGAGCAGGGGAGGATGAAGTGGAGTGTCATCTACTTCTGAAGTGATGGGAGAGGGCTTCTGAGGAGGCAGTGCTGGAGACAAGTTCTGAAGGGACCTGGGGAAGAGTTTTACAGGCAGAGACACAGCAAAAGCCCTGTAAAGGACCTATACCTGAAGAGTGGGAACCAAGAGGTGGCGTGGGTAGCTGGGGCAGAGGAAGAGGCAGAGATGTCTGTGCTTACCAGTGTGTTAAGCTGTCCATAATGGAGAATTATGAATGCCCAGAAGAGGTACTGGACTGAGAATCAGGGACAACTTCCTGGAGGGGTGTCAAACCATGTCTACACCCTGAATGAGTCAGTGGAGAAGAGGAGTGGAATTCAGCCACCAATCCAAAGAAGCCAGAGCAAGAAATGCTCAGGATGTAAGGTGACACTCACTAGGTGTGGTATTACAGCCTGTAATGTCAGCTGTAATGGTCAGGGAAGATGGTCAGGAGTTCAAGGTCATCCTTAGCAACATAGTGAGTTCTGGAGCTAGCCTGGGATACATAAGGCACAAAAACAACAACAACAACAAAAACAGGTATAAGAGGCTTGAGAAACTTGCAAAATACCGTGAGAAGTTGGAGACTTGGGACGAAAGAGAAAAGACAGAAGTCGGAGACACCAGAATCAGAGAGCCCTGGCAGAGAACTACAGTGTTTACATGTAGCTAGCCAGAGGCAGGCATGTGCACATGGGTTGGGGGGTAGGGGTGAGGCAACTAGCCTCGGACCTCTTTCTAGCAAATAGCAAATAGGAAGCCTGATTGTCCTGAGGCCTCCAAGGCTCTCTCGGTCACCTCTGTGATGGGACTGTGTGATGAGAAGTGGCTGGAAGGCTACTGACTTGCTGTGCAGTTTTGGGCAAATCATTTGCTCTCTCTGATCCTTCTCCTTTGGAAGATGCAGTTAGTCAAAATAGAAAGTTAGTTGTTCAGAAGCTGTTAGCTCACGTAAAGTGTTCAGCAGAAAGCCAAGCTCATGGGTTTCAGATGTCTCTGTGGCAGCTTCACCTTGCTGTGGCTTGGTTCACAGGGTCACAGGAGGCAGCAGGGTGCTGGTCTATTGGAGGAGCAAATTGGCACTCCAACAGTTAAAGACTAATCCTGGAGATAAGGCACACTCCAGGTCCTAGGCCCCTTTCTTAAACAAATTTATGAGATTCTGGACATAATTGGGGCTCCCCAAAGCTGCAGCAGGAACCACTCTGGATCCCCCCACCCCACCCCAGAGCCAATAGATGGACAGGGCCAGACACCAGAACCAGGTGTGGACAGTGCTCCAGAGAGGGGCCTAGCTCTTGGCAAGAGTGGAGTGTTGGAGGTGAGGCAGCCAGGGGACCAACAGTGGAACAGAAAACAAGCCAGGAGGGTCCTGGGGGCAGGAGGTGGGGAGACCTGAAGTGGCAGAGGGAGGGTGCTGCAGGAGGGTCTGAACGGGTGGGTGTCCAGTACTGCTTGTACGTGTGCACATGTGCACGTGTGTGTGTGTCTGTACCTGCAGTCGGCCTGTGCACGTGCGTGGGGCGTGGGGTTGTGTGGGGCTGGAAGCCCCCCCATCCCCGAGGGTTAAGCACCGCCCAGCCGCCAGCTCCTCCCAGCCCCAGCCGCGCGGCAGTAGCTGACGCCCTCACTCGACCCACCGCGCCCTGGGCGCACGGCGGGTCCCCGGTGGCTGCAGCGACCAGCAGCGACCAGCCACCCGCGGATGCGCAACGCGTGCCACGAGTCGTCCCCGCACAGCGGCTGCCGGGCCGTCGGGGTGCCTGGACGCCAGGGGCACCAGGCTGCCCAAATGCGGGCGCCACTCTGCCTGCTGCTGCTCGTCGCCCACACGGTGGATATGCTCTCCCTGCACCGGAGGAAGAAGCAAGGTACAGATGTGGCCGGACTGTGGTGGGGTAGGCGCTGCATGGCAGACTTGTGATAGTCTAGCGGGCTGTCTGGTGCCCGACGTCTGGGTTATTGACTCAGGGTCAGCACAGGGGACTGTCGAGCAACCTGGACCTAGGGAGTACCAAAAGGGAAGGAAGGGACTAGTGGTCGATCTCACTGACCCCAGCCTCCCTGCATGTCCCAAGGGTAACTCTACAGAAACAAAAAGCCCAAGGAGCCATCCTTGGGACCAAGGCACTGGGAGACAGAACTAAGGCTTAGAAGCCAACCCAAGCTTCTTCACTGGGCCAGAGGGTCATGTCAAGAGCAATGGCTCCATGGCCTGCATGAAGCTCTGTCACAGCCCTTGACGCCAGCTGTCATCCCCCAGAAGTGATCTGGGTGTCTGGTGATCTCTTCTGGATGACCTGGAAGAAATCTGTCCTCTCTAGGGATTTTTTTCCCCCTTTGGGACCTCTTGGAGCCACTAGGGAACCTGAACCTGAGACTCGAACTGTGCCCGGGCCCTGAAAACATTGTCTTTGGGGTCCTGTGCTGCAGTTCCTCAGTACCACAGTCAGATGTCTTTGGGAGGTGAGTTTGGGACTGCCCCTTGGCAGACCCTGTGCTGTCAGGGAGAACAAGAGGACCAGCAAGCCCTATACCTGAATGGGGCTGGTCCTAGGACCCTCAGTGCCTGTCTGTGAATCAACAGCCAAAGACTGACCACAGTGCCAAGAGTCTGCCACACACTGCCTCCTCACATCCCTATGACACCATAATGACAGAGTGGCTGGCTCACTCTGTAGAGAAGGAACCCAAAATTCATGCAGCTTGCTTTGTTGAGTGGTCTCACAGGCAGGTAGAAGCTCTGATCTGCTCTCTCTGGCTGAGAGTCTGGCTCCAAGAATACTGAATGGAAGAGAGTGAGAGTGGTCTTGCCCTTGGGGCTTCTAGTTCATCTGTGTGGAAAGCCTTACATGGATGCTGTAGCTCCTGTAAGGGAGCAGGGTGCACAGAGGGGCTGTGAGAAAGTAGTTATGAGGTGGAATTTCAGGTCATGGCCTAGGGGTCCAGTCCCTAAGGGAGTTGGACAAAGAATAGAGAGGCAGGTGGACCTCGGGTGGGCTACAGGGACTTGGGGGTCCTGAAGGGTTTCCTTTGTGTGCCCAAAGCCCAGGCACTGGAGTCAGCTTATCTAGATGCACGTCCCTCCTTTGAAGACTCCAGCTGAGTGACTTTGGGGGAGGCACTTGGGACTTGTGGTTTACCTGTGTGAGATCCTTCACATTGGTCCTCCAAGATGTTTTGCCATTCTGAAACACTTTTTTAAAATCCTTTCCTTTTCACCAGCTTATCTTTAAAATGGGAAAGCTACACTTCAGTCTCCTTCATCAGGAGGATCATAGCTATGATGAAGTGGTAGAGATAGAGGGTTGGCTGCCTATACCAGCACCTCCTAGTCCTTGTCACCATTAATCATCCCAGTTTCTTGTCTGTTGCATCATTAGGTACTTACATGAGCCCAGTGAATGCAGGGAGAGGTGTTACTTTCTAGAGAGGAAAATATTTCAGAGAGGGGAATTGACTTGTCTAATGCTGTACAGCAGATAAGCAGGCTCAGATCTTAAGATCATACCTTAGCATCTCATATCTAAGATGATAGAGTGTTATGAGGTCCTGTGAACTGGATTAGCCCACAACCTCAGTTTCCCCATTAGCACAGAGGTGGAGGCTACACAATCCTAGAACCTGTTCTGCAAGGCAGTCACAGTTATCATGGCCAAGTAAGTTTGGCAAATGTAGGTTTTGGCAGTTCTTGGCTGTGGGGTTTATCAGAGCCCAGGAAGAGGTGGTGCAGAGGGGATAGACAGACCATTTCTCAGACATGGGTTGGAAGGTTATGCATATTGTCCCCAGGGTTTTACCAACTTTGATTCTCTAATCTGACTTTGGCAAGAGAATGTGTTCTTTAGATGCTTGGACACTGGTAGTGCCTCGCTCACTCACTCATCTATTCATGTAGTGTTACAGAGCATCCTCCCCACCAGGTTGCATCAGAAGCTGTGGGGATGCTAAACTGAGACAGCCAAGCCAGTGGAGGCTTACCCTTCCCTGCTTTCCTGAGCCTCCTTTTCCACATCCTGCCCTTGACCTCAGTCTTAGGCCCAGTATCCGGTATCCAGCCATGGGGAAGGACCTGCTTGCCCCAGTCTTGCCTGGTCTATGCCTCCTCCCTTGGGGTCCGCTTCTCATGGACCTGGGCTTGGCTGGCTCCAGTGGCATCACTGGTTTTTGATGAAACCTAATTTTTCTATTTCTACAAAACAGAATGAAAGGAGAGGCTTGAAAGGGGTTCTTGGACCTCAAGTGTCTCTTACAAAACACTTCGATTAATTAAGTATAAACGAATTAGAACCAGATGGGGACATTTCTCTTGAAATGAACTGGTGTGCCTGGCAGTGGGGCAGTGGACCAAAATGAGGGACTCTACATTGTGTCCCTGTTCACAGATCTGGAGCTTCCTATAGAGATGGAGATGAGGCTGGAGTCCAAACCCTCCATTCTCTCCTGCCCTGGGCATGAAAGCTTGGGCAGGCCACACACGTTCTCTGATATATGGTCCCCTCATCTGTGAAGTGAGAGCCACTGAACCTGCAGGAAAGATTTACCACCACCCCAGAGGGAAGGCCTCTAAGGGCAGAGGGTACCTCCTGAGCATTGACTTCCCCATGATCTTGTTACCCAGAGCCCATTTGATTTACCATGGTGGGTGCAAGGAATAATGTGTGTGGAGCCTGGATGGCAGTACTGGCCCTGGATGCAGATCCAGAGTGGGGGTCAACACCTGGGTAGGCAAGTGACAGACGGAAGGGATTCACACAAGCCACCTGGACCTCTTATCTATAGTTCACACAGTGGCTGGGTGCAGAACACAATGCATTGCCTGCAAGATAGTATACAGATGGAGCCAGGCTCAGATGGACATTGGCATGATCCAGAAAGGGAAGCCAGTTCCCTTGGGGCAGAGCAAGGTGATGCCTCGACAGATGCTGAGGGATGATGTGGGTGAATCCTGCTCTGAGACCTGGGTATCTTGGTAAAACAGCAGCTAGTTAAGTCTGGGAAGCAGAGCCTGCACACAGGGCAGACAGGTAAGCTGATCCTGAGCTCCACACCTGGTCTATCCATCCTCAGCCACTCTAAAGTCAGCCTGCGTACAAAGGGTGGTGCTTTCCACTTATCCTGCCATGGCCCTGGGAAGCCATCCAGACACCCTCCCCATTCCCAGACACCAGGGATGCAGAGACCACAGAGGGAGGGCTGACCATGGCCCCCACTTCCTCTTCCGTGCCTTGTGGCATACCCATTTCTTAGGCAACGCAGTGGATGGGGCAGTGGCCTATAGAGGACTCCCAGCAGCTTAGTTGGGGCACAGAACCATAGCTTAGGCACCACAGCCTGTGCCTGGATCAGGCAAGGAACTCTGCTGGGACTGAGGGTCATGTCTAGGAGGAGCCTTATCCGGCCATCAAACAGTGGCAGCAATGTGGTGACCTGCAGGAGGAGACAGAGCCTGGCCCCTTCATGGACCACATGGTGGGGAGAAGATGGGAATCCTCCTGTGGACAGTGCCAGTGTTAGGTTATGGAGGGATCTGGGGATACCATATTTGCTGAGCTCCCCTGGCCACACTTTACTGGGTCCTGAGGACAGCATGGATGGGCACTGCACTGTCACTGATGTTATAAAAAGCCCATCAGGGACAATGCCATAGCTGGGCCCCCAGTGCTCTTCAGTCCAGCCTTGATAGGCAGGCTGGCCATTGCTCCAGTCTTAACTGGGGACTCCAAGAAGGGACATGGCTTAGGGACTCAGTCTCTAAGAGGAGACATTGCTGAGCTTGAGCAACACATGTAAGAGGTTTGCTGTCCCTTATGAGGGGAGTTCACCCTGAGACCTGAGCCCTTGGCAGGCAGCAGTCAACTAAGTAAGTTACAGTCAGCGTTTTTTTAATGGAATAGTATGGAATAGGACAGGACAGAAGGGAACAGAACAGGGTAGAAGAAAGTAGAATGGAGTTGGAGGTTGTTTCTTTAAAGAGCTAGAATAAATATTCTAGATGTTGTGAACCACCCGGGATCACACACACAGAGGCTGTGGCATACCATACTCTCTGTAGAAAGTGTCAGAGTGCTAAACTGTTGAGAAGTGTAGTGATGCAGTGTGCACAGATGTGTGAGCATGCATGCAATATGTGGCATTGCACATATGTAGTATGTGTGCTCATGTGAGTGTGTGTACCGTGTGAATGTTAATATAGACTATATTTTCTTGTTTGGGTGCATGCATGCGGTGTTCATGCCTATGTTGTGTGCATGTTTACATATGTGCACACTCACATGTGTGTGCACAAGTGTGAAGGCCTGAAGTTGATGTCAGGTCTCTTGCTTGATGGCTCTCTATTTATCGAGACAGTCTCTCACTGAACCTGGGGCTTGTGATTCTGACTAGTCCAGCTAGCTAGCTTGCCTGGACAATCCTCCTGCCTCTGCCTCCAGAGTGCTGGGATTACAAGTGAGCCATCACACCTGCCTGGCTTTTCATGGGCTCTACAGACCTGAACCCAGGTCTCCAGACCTGCACAGCAAGTGCTTCATCCATGGGGGCATCTCAGCAGCCTCCAAAAGTGTGTCCTTCCCATTATCAGAGCATGCATGCCATTCCCCCAGCTGTGCCTGTCTGAGGTACCTAGCCCTTCCCAAGCTGGCCTGATACAGGACAGATGTAAGATGCACGACCTTATGAAGATAGGAGGGTCCCTATTTTCCCAAGAGGAGCCCAAGACCCACTGGGCCACATGACCGGGCATATAAACTTGGAAAGTCTGATGTATAGCTACACCCCCTCCAGGGAACACCTACGCGCATGCCCATGAGCAGCTCTCCGGGTCTTTTGCTTCTTCTTGCCCTGAGGCTGGTGCCATCTCCTTCCCAGC